ATATATATATATATATATATATATATATATATATATATATATATATATATATATATATATATATATATATATATATATATATATATATATATATATATATATGTGTGCAATATTTAATTTGTAATATGACTTCAATTATATTACAAGTTATTTACTATTGAAATTTTTAGGGGTTTTGTTAATTTGTTACAAAAATGATGTTAAAATTGCTTTCAAATAAAAAAAGTTCAACGACAACAAAAAAAAAAAAAAAAAAAAAAAAATCAGAAAAAAAATAAATAAATTCGGTAGTACAAGCCCAATTGGTCGCATCGAGCTAATCGGGTTCAATCAAATATATAAATATTCTTTAATCTTTAAAACTAAAGGGAATCATCATTTATTACATAGAGGTAGGGGTGGAAATCGGAATGAAACTTCCGATTTCTGCCGATTCCGACCCGAATATTTCCGATTTTGGAGCAATCTTTTGTAGCCCGATTTCTGAAATTTCCGATTTCCGAAATTTCCGAAAAAATTCGGATCGGATTCAGAATTTGATATAGAATATTCGGAATTTTCGAATTCCGATCCGAAATGAATTCCAAATAATTCCGTTATTATATTTACATATATATATTATGGGGATCACTATTTCAAATCCCAACTTTTGCTTACTTGAATACCAAAAAAATAAAAAATAAATAATTAATTGTAAATTACTTTAATACCCTTAATGAAATTAAAACTAAAAAAATATTACAAATACTATTTTTCTTTCTTAAATAACAAATAATCAAAAACTCAAAAAACCATTTCCCTCCTTCTCCACCTCCTTCTTCTCCCTCCCCAAAAACCCTTCTAAAAAATCTTCCTCACAACAAACCCTTCTAAAAAATCTCACAACAAACCCTTCTAAAAAATATCAAAACTAAAGAAATTAAAACCTCACAAAACGTATAAAATTGAGTTATAAGACAATAATATGGTAGTATATATGAAAGGAGAACACATTAAGGTAAGTATCGATGTCTTTTTTGAGCTTCGAAGTCGATTTTGAAGTTTTTTTTTTTTGAAACCCGTCGGCGGCGGCGGCGGCGGCGGCGGCGGTCAGGGTTGGAGAGGAGAAGAAATGGTGGAGGTTTTTTTTTTTAACAACAAAGGGTTTTTTTCTTTTTTTTTTATTTGGTTTTTGAATAGGTAATTTCTAATAAAATTTGATATAATTGATATTTTGTATGAAAGGGTGTTTTTGTAATTTTCTTTTTATTTTGGTTTTAAAGTAAGAAAAAACTTATAAATATGTACTCAATTGTGGTTTTCAACTAGGTAGTATTCAACTAAGCAAAAATTAGTATTCAAAATAGTTGCCCCCATATATTATGTATAGGGATTTTCATATTAAAACCAAAATTGCTGCTGTGGGCTTCAACTAATTGTTTTAAAGACTTTTATGGTCCATAAAATATTGGCCCATTTATAATTACACTAACAACCCCTATCTTCTAATTTCTTCTTTCTTCACTGCGTCGCTGTGAGCTTATCTTATCCTCTTCAGTGGATATAATTTTTTTGGTTTTATCTCTTTTTTTTTGATAGAAAAATTCAGATTAAATCGGAATCGAATCTCATTTTCAGATTCCGAAATTTTCGGAACATAGATTGTTGTTCCGAATAAAATAATCAGAAATATTCCAAAAGGCTCATTTTCCGATCGGAGAGGATTCAACATGAAGTAGGTATGATCTAAATTCTAATTAATATCAACCACATTGGCAAAATTATATAGTAGTGCCAAACATATCTTTCTTTAAAGCTGTATATATTTATGAATATATATAATGCCTAACCTTTTCTTCTTCTTTTTTTTTTTATTTATATATATTTAATGTTGCAGATTAATAATGAACCCATGCTATAAAAGAACAGACGAGGGTGAGTTGTAATATTCGTTGAAAATTAATTAAAATATATAGATGGATAAAAAACAAGAGAAAAACGAGGATGACGAGTTTTCGGAGTCGTTTCTTCAAACACTTGAGCAACAAACAAACTGGGACGGAAGTCCGATGGTGAAATACCGAGGCTTTTGGTATTTGAAAAGATTTATCCGACAGGAACTTTCGTCTCATAAGCACTTCAAAGCAAGAGATTCCGACATAATATTGTCGACCCTTCCTAAATCAGGAACCACCTGGCTGAAAGCCCTCGCTTACTCAATAGTCAACCGCGATACTATCTATCGAGACATTGGTCAAAACCCTCTACTCACATGCAATCCCCACACACTTGTGCCCTTCCTATTCATGTTTGAAGAAAACAACCCTCATGAATTCGATCAACCCACCGATCCAAGAATCTTCGCAACCCACACGCCTTTCGAAGCCCTAGCTGATTCGATACGCCAGTCCGCATGCAAAATCATCTACGTGTGTAGAAACCCTTTGGATCAGTTCGTCTCGATCCGCCATTTCTTGATCGACAACAAGATTGAGAAAGACCACGCGGGCCCGCTCGGACTAGACGAGAGTTTCGATATGTTTTGCGAGGGAACTCATCCGGTCGGGCCCTTTTGGGACCATATGACTGGCTACTGGAATGCCCAATTGGAGAACCCTCGTAAAGTGTTGTTTCTAAAGTACGAGGATATGAAAGAGGATATTGTTTTCAATGTGAAGAAGATTGCCGATTTTCTTGGTTGTCCGTTTTCGTCGGAGGAAGAAGAACGAGGCATGGTTGAAGAGATCTCGGAGATGTGCAGCTTTCAGAGTTTGAAGAATGTGGATAGGAATGGATATTCCTTCAAGGGTATATTTAAGAATAGTACATTCTTTAGGAAGGGAGAAGTTGGAGACTGGAGCAATTGTTTGACTCCCGCCATGGCTGAACGCATGAAGAAGCTCGTCGAGATCAAGTTCCAGGGGTCTCCTGGTTTAACATTCAAGATTTGATTAATAAAAACAAGACAGCTGTTAATTCGTGTAATAATATGATATGTATGTGTGTTGTTTGTGCTTTGATTTATGCTCTCCTTTTTATTATGTGAACTTTAATAAGTGTGCTTGTATTAGTTGGTATTGGTGTTTATGTTGCTTTCTTTGGTTATTGAATAAAATGATTATTGGTATCAAGTTTTTAGAGTATCCAAATGTAGTGTGATTTAGAGCTCGTTTGGTTACGTATCGGATTAATTTTGGTTTAGGTGTGATTGGATTAATTAATTCATTAATTAGATGTCTGATTTCTTAGATTAAATATTGTATAATTAGTTGATAATTTGTGGTATGATATGTGATTTGTCTATAAACCGTCTTATATAACAAAAGTGAGACGTATTTCTACAGATTAAATTGTATTTTCCTTCTTTAATTAGTCACACCCTATTGAAACTAATCTCAACTAATTTTAAGAGAAAGCAAAATATATTTACAAATATTCAAAAACATATTATGAGCCAAAAAAAGCTCGTAATCCTTTTTCAATTTTTTTTTTTTTTTTTGGCAAATACTATCTTAATTAGTTGGTCTATATATCTCTCAAGTAAGTAGTTCGGGAGTTCTTCGAGATTGAAGACGATAATCCTTCAAAGGTCAAGTCAGATATCGCAAATTGAGAATTTAACACAATAATGAGGAGGGTAAGTGATAGTCAACGACGTTTAATATAAATATAACAAAATCCAAAATTCATATAACATTTAGGGTAAATTACAGGGGCTCTTTGAAAAAACCTCCTCACTATTTTTTTTAATGGAGGGAGACCCAAAAATATTTTAGTCCATTTGAGAAAAGCCCACACCCATTTTCAGCCATTATGTTTTCCAGCTTTGCCCCTGCCCGCCACATCATCACTGGGTCACGCGCTCAGCGATTTTTTTTTTTTGCGTTTTTTTCCCGTCTTTTATGTATCAGTTTCCTTAATCGACTATGAAGCATAGTCGATTAGCCTTAATCGACTATGCTTCATTGTCGATTAAGGAAATTATTTATTTTTTTAATTTTTTTTTTGTTTTTAAATTTTTTTTATATCAGGTATATTAATCGACTATGGTGTGAAGCATAGTCGATTAAGAATCTGCTACTAAAAATAACAAATCACAACTGCGAAAAAAACACAAAATCAACTATATATTACAAAAAAAATAATATACAAATATTATAAATGATTTATACAATTGGAATCAATAAACAAAAAGTTCAAAAAAAAAAAAAATTGGAGTCATTCAACCTTAATCGACTGCCAGAGCATAGTCGATTAGCTCAATCGACTATGAACATGTACATAGTCGATTAATGTTTCAGCATGCGCGAAATTCTCTATCGGCGCCGTCCTCCGCCTGATCCACCAAAAAACCCTAAATTTGCCTCCCCATCGTCACCACACCGCCGCCACAACACACCATCACCACCTTACTTTGACATTATGACGGTTTTTTATTACAAATAAATAAATAAAATCACAACTCGCACCACCAACCAAAGCATAACCACCACCCATCAAAATCAGATTTCGTCGACAAATCGACAATCTTATCTCTATTCGCCTCCGATGTAGCATTCCTGGCATTCGAATTCAGAATCGCTATCAAAATTATTTATATGTTTGATGGGTGCTTCATCTTCTTTCTTTCTCCATCTCCCAGCGGCTGCGGCGGCGATAGTGGAGGAGAAGTCACAGAGAAAACAGAGGAAAAAAACACAGAAGAAGAGAAAAGAGAGAAGAAGAGAAATGTTGGAGCGTGAAAACGGCGGATGAAAAAATACAAATAAGATTAGGGTTTTGAAAGAGTATAATAGACAATTAAGGGTAATTTTGGAATTATAAAAATATCACATGGGTGGAATATTAGCTAAGGGGGTTTTCTCTAATTATTTTTGGGAGGAGGTGTTTTCTTAACTCATTTTCCTAGATGAGGGGGTTTTTGCTAATTATCCCGCTAAAATAACTTTAAGGTCTCTGTAGTATCGGTAATTATAATCGTCTCCCTGATACATTGTTGGAAACCATAACGGAATAATGCATTGGATAAGTTATTTTGTTATGGTTCTAACGGACTATTAGTCGTTTCAGTCAGTGGTGGAGACAACACAGAGTTAGAGGGTGACATGACTCTCCATACATTTCTTAAATCTTTATTATGTTATACAAGATTTATACCCAGGACATGAAATCTTGGCTCCAGTAATTGTTTCAGGAGTGTGGCTATAGTTACCAACTTACCAATACCACAAAAACCTTAAAGTTATATTAGCATACCTCAGAAATGTAGGTATAATTTACACGTAACATTTAATAAAAATTTTATTCTAATATAATATCTTTCCAAAACAAAAAATGCCTAGACATGTCAACATTGATTTTGGGCAGTTGGTCAAGTGGTTATTAATTATTATACATAACTGGGTCAAATTGGCATCATAAATTCGGTAAGAAGGGCAGCATTGATCAGATTACAGATCAATGATCTTATTAAAAAAATCATTTTATACCCACCAGAGAAACTGCTATACATGTTTGATTAGGTTTTAGTCTTCTAATTTTATTTATTTATTTATTTATTTTTAATTTGTTACGCCAAAATGAAGTAAACGGAATAATGTAATCATTATTCATCCACACACAAACAAAAGTACAAATATTGGTCACAGCTTATAATACATGAACTTTAAAGATTATCTAATGTATATTTCACCGAGTGTAGCATGAATCATAATTAATTATCGAGTTACCTAATCACCATACCCCCTTAATTATAAGCAATACTAATATAGGGTAAATTACAATTATCCCCAGAGATATGGTCAAATTATAAAAAGGAAGCCCTCTTGTTTGGATAATTACAACCACTTCCCTCAACTATAAATCTTTTTACACGTCCAGCCTTGCGGTTTCAAATTTCGTGGAATTTTCGAGATTATATGAATTATTATCACTTTTGTACCCGTTTTATCCTATTCGAACTCCACATTTTAAAGCAAGATGATCATAATATGTGTTTTTAAGCTTGTATATATCAGATTGTGGTGCATCAGAAACTGTATTTTTACGCAAAACGAGTACAAACTAGAGCACATTTCACGAAATCTAGATGATTATGTTGAATTTGACACCATAAGGGTGGAGATGTGAGAAAAAATCATAGTTGAGGGGTAGATGTAATTATCCAAACAAGAGGGATTTTTTCGTAAATTGACTATACCTCATGGGTGGTTGTAATTTACCCTACTAATATAATAACCCCATTCCACCCACCTAAAACACCCATATACATTTGCTGATTAATGCCATCAACTATTAAAACTCAATTAGAGAGAGAGAGAGAGAGAGAGAGAGAGAGAGAGAGAGAGAGAGAGAGAGAGAGAGAGAGAGAGAGAGAGAGAGAGAGAGAGAGAGAGAGAGAGAGAGAGAGAGAGAGAGAGAGAGAGAGAGAGAGAGAGAGCGCAATAATGAAGCACGAAGGCAAGTACCATTTCAGCCACGAGCACATAATGATACCCATCGAACTAGACGAAGACGACGAAGTCAAATGCAACGCCTGCGAACAGCTCCTCACGGAGCCGTTCATCGGGTGCCCGCCTTGCCAATTCTTCCTCCACGAGAACTGCTTCCATGTTCCTCGGTCAATGGACCACCCATCGCACCCCTCTCATCCATTGACCCTCGATCCAACGCCTCCACATCCGTACACCTGCAATGCGTGTGGGTCCCACGGTAAAGCCTTCGGCTTCGGATGTGGGGCCCACTGCGAGTTCCATCTCCACTTGCGATGCGCAATCTTGCCCGAGACTTTTTCGTACGACGACGAACACCCGCATGGTCTCGAGCTAGTGTTCGAACCACCTTCGTTCAAGAATCTCGGAACAAGTGATGATAGTCAACTAGTTAAGATTCCGTGTTACATATGTAACGAAAATCAGGTTTCGTGGTTGTACTATTGTGAAGCATGCGAATACGTCGCCCATCTCAAATGCTTGTTGTCGAAATACGAAGAGATGGAATCGTATGTTGTTTCTGATTATTCGTCCGATCAAGAAGATGACGATTATGATGACATCATTCAAAACCTTCGGATTTGATGGGGTGATGCATGTGACATATAATCACCCATATCTATATATGCCTGATTGATGTTTTTAACTTTAACTTTTTAGCATCAAAGTGAAATTCACTTGATTTTTTTATTTGTATTAAGTGTTGGAACTATTTTTTGTACTAAAACCTGCAAAAAAATAAATTGTTCCGATTTTTCCAATTTTTTTGGAACGGTATTATACAATATATATTAGATTTTGATTTACGATCCGATTTTAATTTCTGCAAATTCCAATATTTTTTTGGAAATTACACTTATAAGCTATAATATAATACTAATAATATTATGATGTTTTTTTTTTTTTATATTATAGGCCGGTGACTAAAAATGTCCACTGATTGCGATCCAAAATTTTAAAATTTTGGAACAAGTTTTTCATTCCAAATTTCCTATCAAGCTTCGTTCGGTAAATTTTACACCCCGAAAAGAATAGAATTTCCATGTTTCATTGTTTTGGATCCAAATATTTCCATATTTGAGCTGTCTTTTCCCGCCATATAACAACTAACTGTATTTCCATCTTTTTTACTTTCTTCATAATATATCCGATAGACGCACATGCTAACGAACTCCAGGTGATCAGAGAGAGAGAGAGAGAGGTAATTTTCTAGATAGAGAAAGTAAGAAATGCAGAGACGACTCGCCTGAATCCTGCAAGCTTGAAACTATCACCGCGGCCACCGGAATCAATTGTATTTGTATGTATATATATGTACTGTTTATGCATGCTTAATGCGCGTGTATCTTTAATTTCCGATTCTATTTTTCTTTCTTCCTTTTCATAATTTTGGCCTGAATTTCCCTTCAACTTCCTATACGGAGCTGATTTTTTGGTTCAATTTTTGGGGGTGAATTTGAGAATTTCGTAGATAGGTTTTGGTTCTTTTGATTTTCTTCATCTTCCAGGTTCAAATTTAAGGTAGTGTTTGTGAATGATGATGTAATATTTTATTTTATTTTTTTCTAATCAGAGCATAATTTTGAAATTCTGAATTGAATGAGAGCTTCAGAATTATATTGCCGATTTTTTTAATTTAATCTGCAGTTTGTTTAGTTGTTTCCGTGCACTGGAGTTCTGCTCGACAGAATGCACTTGCCGAGAATGCTTTAATAACGGGGAGAGTTTCCGTTGCACGACTGATTTATGTACCACAGATGTCTGCGTTTGCGATGTGGTACGTTTTCTCGTTTTTTTTTCCCTTAATTCTCTGTTTTTGCTTGATCTCTGCTCTATTTTTATCGTGGAACGATTTTTATTGAACGGAACCGTCTTTTTTTAATTTATTTTAAATATGTATATACTAATTCTCCGTTTACGATGGCTCTACTTTTTTCGTGAAATGATTCTTATTGAACGAAACTGTTTTGTTCCGGAGAAAAAGCTACATATATATACATAAAACTAGCTGCAAAATATATATATATATATATATATATATATATATATATATAGATATAGATATATATATATACTATTCATGACATATGCAAACTACACAACAGTCAATTAACTTATATACACACATATACAGTAAACATCATTAAGCAGCATAAAAGTATTATTCATCGAACTCGCCCTCTACTACTCTTTGTTGCTGGACGAACGATCCTTCTTGGGCCCACCAAGAATACGAGATATTTGCAAACCTCTGCTAAAAGCTTGATTAAACAACATTCGAGTTTGGAACTCCGAAACAAAAGGGAACCAAGCCAAGAAAGCCACCGGAATGAACAACAACATCCCGATTATAAACTCATAGCCTCGTGCAAGGGCCCGAACCGACCCCCATATTCCGGCCCGAACTACTAGAGGCTTCAATGCTTGTGCCATCTGTTTTTAGTTTTTTTAATTTAATACAAGTTCATTTTTTTTGGCGGAAAATAAAAAAAATATAAAAATAAGAGAAATTACGTACCAAAAGCATTCCCCATCCGGTTGGCATGAAAGCGAGTATGGCGACAATGACATCGAGAAATGTCATGTTGAGAAGAACTATTAGGGTGATCAGAATCGAAACAAACGAGAGAAAAATAAGGACCTCGATGAATCGAAACACGATCTGGAAATCAGCACTGAATTGCCTCCTTCCAGCAGAAATCACCTGCACAACTCCAGCACAATTAGGGGGGCTTCGAATTCCAAAAGTTTCAATTTCCATTTTTTCTCAATTTTTTTTTGGAACGGAATTGGAAATGGCATATTAGATTTCGATATTCTATTCTATTTTTATTTTTGAAAATATTTCAAAAATCCCAAAAAAACAAAATCCGATTTTAGAACAAGCTTTTTCATTCCAATTTCTGATATTCCGATTTCCGATTTTTCTATTTTTTCTTTTTTTTTTTTTGGGAACGGAATTGAAATTAATTTTTCGTTTCTGAAAAAAGTTGGATTAATTTTTCTTCCGAAAGCGGTAATTCGGATTCAATCCGTCCAATACTAATGTAACTCAACGGCAGTTCTTACCTTCATAAGTAGCAGGACTGCAAAGATCACTAACCACGAAATACCATACACCTGCGCACGAATAAAACAAACATCGATGAATATCATAAAATAATCAAAATCAAGAAAACAAGGAAAAAAAAAATCCAATTGCAAAAGCATTCGAAAATCTCACCAAAAAGCTCTTGTTTTTATTGATAAAGCTAAGGTGATAAACCAGCCCGAACTGATATATAAAAAACCGCACAGACAGCAACATCTCGAAAATAATGCCACGTGTACCAGAATGCGATAAATGCTCTTGTTCTTTCTCCCACCAAGATTCCCAACTCTTTTCCGGTGGCACACCGATTCCTCCTCGATTATTCATCCACTTGTTCCAATCCGTCCAATCATCCAATATCTTCTGCCACTCGTACCCCGACGGATTGAAGAAAAACGGGGCGAAAAGCCACGTGCCCACAAGAAACCATATCGACACAGTAATAAACACGTATGCAAGAACACCTCTGTACGCGTGTCCGAATATATGATAAACGAGAAGCAAAATCATCAGCTCGATCCCCTTCACGAAATGGCTCCGAGAATATAATCGGTAATTATCGGCGAATTTTGCGTGGAACACGACGAACCCGCGCCCCGTGCCTCTATATCGAGCGCCGCCGTGAAGCAGGGTTCGTCCGAAATAATGCGTTCTTGTTCCGAGAGAGAACGTGAAGAATACGGGAGCGAGCTGGAGCTGCATTAGTACGAAATCGGTTAACGCGTTACGGAAGCCTCGTTCGAGACCGATCTCCATCATCATAGGCAACGCCATTAGTAGCCCTATTTGGACGAAGGATTGAGAGGCGAGAGCTACTTGAAGAGGCTTGTTGTCTCGTATTGCGGGATGACTGTTTAACCCTTCTTCGAGCCCGCTTAGTACGAGGTAGAGACGGCCGTAGAGAAATACGTACACCGTTAGCACAGTTAGCTGTCGAAAAATGTAAAAAACAAAAAAAAATTACAGATTTCGTGAGATGCAAGCAAATACTTCGAAAACGATTGGGAGTTTGTTTTCAAGTAAAAAAATACCAAAGTGCTGAAGTAGAATCCCACTGTAGTGAAGTAACACGACAACATGCGGAAGAAGTCGAAGCGATGCCCTAAACGGTAAATATCGCGGCTCAAGGCTTGTTCGCCGTTACCGCAGCCGATCTTCGCCTCGAAGAGCGAGATTTGGTTGAGACCTACGTCTCTTCCTTTGCCCACTTGTATGTATTCGTGATGTGTCACATTGCCTCCACGAAGTGTGGAATTGAAACCTTTTAAACGGACGTTAATAAACACGCATGAGAAATGCTGAAACAAAATTATCGAAAAAATTCAAGAGTTTGCTGTAAGAAAATAAAATACGATGCCTGCAAAGATGTCCTCGCTTAAGTTGATGATTTTAGACGCTTTGCTGACGCCGCCTCTTGTCAGGTGAAATAGTCGGTCGAATACATCAGGGTGGCCATAATGGAATCGAACCCTGAAATACCACAAAACCATTGGAACCGTCAATTGTGATTGTACAAGATTGTGGGATATATTCTTGGGTAAATTACGGCCACCGCTGAGGTAAGGTCAAATTACGAAAAAACCCCTTTTGTTTGGGTAATTTCAACCACCCCTCAACTATGAATTTTCTTACACGTCCACCTTTATACAGTTCTCTAATTTGTACTCGTTTTGTGCAAAAATACAGTTTCTGATGCTGCACCACAATCTGATGTTTACAAGGCAAGAGACACATTTTATGATCATTTTGTTTCAAAATATGGAGCTCGAATGGGGTAAAACGGGTACAAACTGGATAATATTCCACATCATCTAGAAGATTCCACTAAATTTGACACCGCAATGGTGGACGTGTAAGAAGATTCATAGTTCAGGAGTGATTGTAATTATCCAAACAGAAGTGGTTTTTTCGTAATTTGACCTTGCCTCATGGGAAGCCGTCATTTCTAATCATGAACATTTCTAATAAAAATCTGATTGAAAAACTTACTTCAACGGATTCGCCAGCAACCTTTGGCCAATCGTCACGAAACTATTCTCTTGATTCGACATAAACCAGGCGAGCGAAGAGACACTAAACAAACAAAGATTAAATAGTTTAACAAACTATTAAATAGTTTCTATTTCGGGTTCTCGGAGTTGCCATATACCTTCCGGTAAATATGTGCTCTCTAAGTCCGAGAATAGTCGGTTTCCTCACACCGTGCTTTTTAAGAAACTCTTGCAACAAGTTTCTCATTTTGAAGGCTTCTTCCATATAGTTGTCCTGAAAAACGAAAAACATTTAATCATACATTTTCGGTAATAATCCGTTTTCTCGCACACACCAACTTAAAATACCTGGTTCATATCAATTGTTTGCAAGCCTTCACCACGGGTAAAGATTATGGCGTGGTTTTGATTCTCCGGTTTTCCCTCGCCTAATATGGCGGGCCCGGGAAGTTTTATCCGATAAATAACCTGGAAATGACAATAACCAAATGTGAAACGAAGACGATATTTTAGTCGACTAAACAATTAAGCATTGAGGATTTTTACCTGATCTAACTTCTGATCTGGCTCGGACGAGTCAACCGATTTCGGCGCGGCCTTTACGAGGGCTGAATAATACACTTTCTCAACTTTTTTAACGGCTGTATCTCGATTTTTATCTCTACCTCTTTCTTCGACTTCTTCAACCTCGTCAACATAAGCTACTCGAACAGATGGATACCTGATCATAGTATTATCGAAACAAAGCTCTCGCATATTCAAGATTTAAAAAAACTAATAATAAAAATAAAAATAAAAATAAAATAAAATAAAAAAATCGTACTTCGTCATGAGTCTCAAAATATCGGTGGCACGGCGATCGCCGGATCTTTTCTGGATTCCGTATTGTTGGCAAGATACCACGTACGTAAATTTCATATCTGCCACAGCTTGACATTGTGTTAATAACGAACCCTCAATTTTCACTTGTTCGTCGGTATTCATTTCGGCAGCAGCCTTGTAGCCTTTCATTAAATCTGCGGCGAGCATTAACCAAAATAATAAATAAATTATTATGTCGTCGGTAAAAATAAATAAATAAACTCCTCGAGCAACCTTCTTCCTTTGCCATATCGAGAAAAGCCTGAAGCTCCAAAGCTTGACGATTGTACATCATGCCACGTACTGTACACCACCAAAGAAAAAACGACTATGAACATAACAGAATTAACTGCCGGTTTTAAAATAATAATAAATAAATAACAGAATTAACTACCGGTTTTGGTCAATGTTTGTCCTCTATAGGACGCCCATAAACGTAGCTCCTCTTCTAATCTCGTATTTCCCTTGAGATCCTCTTCACTACTGCAACCGACCCGTTCGAGAAAGTTCTCCCATTCATCTGCTCGATTTAGGAAATACTTGTCCGTATTAGAGGGTTACTAAAGTCATTTCACTACGTCGGTCGACATTAAAAATTCCAAAAAAAAAACCTGGGAAAATCTTTTGTAGATAGAATAATATGGAAACACCGTCTTCGTTCGGCTGTTCGAGCAAATCAATCGAGAAGAGTACCTCTTCGTCATAGTAAGGAGTTAAGATGCTACACGCACAAATATATGAAATTTACTTCATGCTCAATTGTGCAATAGATAAGTAAAAGGGTAAATTACGGCCACCCCTGAGGTATGCTCAAATTACGAAAAAGCCCCTCATGTTTGGATAATTACAACCACCCCTCAACTATGTACCTGAACTATGTACTGTCTTACACGTCCACCCTTACGGTGTCAAATTTACCCACCGAAGTATAGGTTTTTTTGTAAGACGATACATAGTTAAAGGGGTGGTTGTAATTATCCAAATATGAGGGGTATTTTCGTAATTTGAGCATACCTAGGTGGCCGTAATTTGCTCTAAATAAAATAATTCGATAAAATAATTTTATTTTTTTAAAAGAGACTTACGAAAAGGAGATCATATTGCGAACTTTGGGAGCTACAGGCATGTCCATGAACAATGAATTCGAGAAAAATGACATTCGTCTCCTCGCTTCTAAATTCGACGGAACATCCATAGCAGATTCCTTCACTGTAAGCAACAGATGAAGCCGTCTAATCTGATAAAAAAAAAATAATAATAATAATAAATAAAAAACCACCTTTTCTTTAGGACATTAAAATAAAATAAATCCAGGTAACTATCGAAAGTGACACTTCCTATTTAACTTTACCTTCTCTTTCCACGCCTCTGTTTCTTCGGTTATGGGAAAATGAAGTGTCCCGAAGTACTGATACTGTTGATCGAGAGGCATCATGCCTTGATGCATTCCGTACGACCCACCGTGGCTCGACTCTTGCAAACTACAAAAAACAAAAAAAAAACAAAAAAAAAAAACAGGTAAAGAGTGATTTCGACATTAAGCATTTGACATTAAAAATAGCTGCGCCTCGTCGTTTACCTAGGAACGGTGTCGTCCAATATGTCTCTGGTGACAACCTCGAGCATGTTAAGCAAGACAATTACAACTTTATCCTTGTCCTCTTTTTTATTTTCCATCTGCATTATTCTTACAATCACAACAAACACGTAGCGCAATAATAGCATTTGCAAAAAAACGAGAGCGAAAAAATAATTTTTACCAGATACTCGATCAGCTGCACAAACTGCACGTACAGGCTAGGCAGAGCGCTCATATTAAATTCAACCAACAGATCACCCTGCTCTATGTGATGATCAACTTTCGAAAAGATCTCGTTTATCACACTTATAAAATCATAAACACGAACAGAAATCAGTTTCCGCGATACAAAACATGAAAATGAAAAAAAAAAATCGATTTTTTTTAATTTACGTACAGCTCTTCACGTTCTCCGAGAACCAAGAAGTTGATGATGTTTTTACACAAAGCGTAGCACTCGCGAATCGCGCAGCCCATATATATGTCGGCGTTCAATCTCTTGTTCAGCTCTGTATCCCTCCCGTTGCTATCTTTCGCCATGTCCAGTGCTATCGGAAGCTATATATATATATATAGTAGAACCTCGATAAATTAATACTTGATAAATTAATAACCGAGCTTAAATAATAGTTTCTTCTGGTCCCGATTCGGTAAAAACCTACTAAAATTATTAGTTCGATAATTTAATATTTCGCTAAATTAATAGAATTTTGTTAGTCCCGAGGTTTAACTGTATAAACAATTATTATATATCGTTTGTCGAGCTTAAAAAATTATACGAAAGGAATTCACACCTTGCTAGCTAGTAAAAACGGAGGCCATTGGATAAGGTCCAATTCACGGTCAGCTCGATACGGCACGAGTAATAGGTTCATTTCCCTGTTTAATTCCAACTAAATTAAATATTTAAATAATAAAACAATATAAACAACAAAATTTTCGGGAAATCAATTTTGCCTGTAATTAATTAGATCCTCCTCTCGGAAACTTTCGATGATTTTGTTCCACATTTGAGAAAATTTTGCTGCCTCCTTGTCCTTATTAGATTTAATCTGCAAAAGGCCGGTGAATTCCGATTAATAAATACGAAAACTTAAAATAAGAGATATTAACTGCGAAAATTATCGTAATCGAAACCTCTGCGAATTTTCGGGAAAATGTAGCTTTAAGCCCCTTGGGTTTTTCTACTTTTTCTGCTGGAATTAAGCAGGCGTTGAAAGCGCCGGGCAATGACTGAAAACGAGACCTTAGCATTCCCAACGTTCGAATCTGATGGCAGAGTTGAAATTTTCTGAGTTTTCGAAAAAACAGAAAATTAAAAAGTTTAATAACTAAAAGTTAAAACTACCTCTCCAAGACGACGAAATGCTCCGTATATACCTCCAAATATAGTGGAGAAAATAGCATACCAAATCTGAGTGTCCATGAAATATACCTGAAAAATACTCATGATTAAGATATTGTATTGCGAAATCGAATGAGTACGAATACGTAGAAATCGATCACGACGAAGAATTTACATTTTACTTACGATGATTATCGGAGACCAGAGTGCAATTATTACTCCAATGTTGTTTTTCGCTGAAAACAAAAACAAACAGAAAAAATCGACATGTAATTGCTTCTTACATCCTCTTTTAAGACATGTGTGTAATAGATTAAACAAGTACAGTTAAACCACCTCTATAAATTAATACAGTTGAGACTAGCAAAATTCTATTAATTTAGCGAAATATTAAATTATCGAACTATTAATTTAATACATTTTCACCGAGTCGGGACCTGAAGAAACTATTATTTAAGCGATGATGTTATTAATTTATCGAGATTCTACTGTCCTGACTAATAAAATATAACTACCTTGAGGGAAGAACTCGTGCCACTGGTAAGTTGATATATGAACCTGCATGATTTCTTTCGTCGGACCAACTAGAGGCTTTATCTGCATCAAACCAAAAAAAAAGAAAAAAAGCATCCGTAACCAATTATATCATAAATCATGAATAAAATCGGATTAACATAAAAAAAAAAAAAAAAAGCAGCTCACATTAAAAAAATTAAATAAATAAAAAATGAAGGCACCTCTATATAAAAGCTAAATGCCAACTTTGCCGTAAGGAGAAGAACCCAGTACATCGTGTACTTGAAAACAGAAAACGCGCTCTCTTGCATCCCCCTCCCAACATATAGCCGAGGCTGCAGCGAATACCAAAACGACAAGTGTCACAAAAAATACCGACAAGACAACATAGTACAAAAAAAATTACGTACCTGGGACCACCACATCATAAACCTCACAATTCTGTAGTCCGATCGCTCGAGAGACCTCCGAATAAGCGGGAACAAAAACAACACGGCGGAGAGCATGTTTGGAGATAAGTAAATCAAGACCGCAATTATAAATAAAGAAGGCGACCCTTTGCTATTGCCAAACCAGTTCTTAATTGTTTGCGCAAATCCCGAAGGATTTTTCCAACTGTACGCGTAAGTCACCGGCAATACAATCACCCATGCAGAAACGGAGATGAACTTTAGTAAGTATCGGAGCTGTACGTGCGACGACATGCTCTTTCTTGCTTTCCAGCTCATCACAATATCGAGAACCGCTGCATAACAATTTTTAACAATTAAAATACTTAGGGCCTCGTTTGGTTGCCAAGATTAGATTAGCCAAGATAAGATTAAAACAATCTAATAAAAAACACCATAAAAGACAAGATAAGGCAAGATAAACCATGATAACATAATATTTGCAGGTCGACCCGACAAATTATTAGGGTTACCAAACATCAAACAAAGTCCAATTATTTAGTTAATCATGACTAATCTCCCCAACCAAACGAGGCCTTAGAATAGATTGTCAACTTTGTATTTTGGTATTATTATTACCTTGTGCGAATTTTAGTATGGCTGCTGTGATGAAAATGCTCGATACTTTCTGGAATACGTCTCCGTCGATTATACCGCTTAAATCACCGGAGCCATTCCAAGCAATTATGATCATTGCCTTGAAAAGAAAATAAATTGAAAATTGATATGATATAATATGTTAGATACTACGGTTAGTTAAAATAGGGCAAATTACGGTCAACCCCTGAGGTATGGTCAAATTACGAAAACCCCCCTCTTGTTTGGGTAATTACAGCCACCCCTAAAGCCACCCCCTAAACTATGTATTATCTTACGAAAATACCCCTCCATAGGTATGTTAAATCGGTAAATTTCAGTACGCCAACATTTCATACCGTTTACCGAACTGAATATACGATTTGGTTCGGTAAATAACCGAGCTACATAAATTTTATGTAAAAATATTTGCAAAGAGGGGTGGCTGTAATTACCCAAACAAAGAGGAGTTTTTTCGTAATTTGGCCACAGGGGTTGGCCGTAATTTTGCCCGTTAAAATATAAGGACGAAAAACAGTCGAGGTTGTTTACCTGTAGGCACAAAATGAAGAAGCTCCACATTCTGTCGTTACTCCTAAATATGTGCCAAAACGAACGTGTCTCGACGAAATTGATTTTTCCGATCCATCGATCTCCTTTCACAGTTTCACTGCCCTCGGTTCTGTCTGCACGTATCTCTTCTACGGGAAGGCAGAAAAAGTCGGCTTCGTCGCGCATCGGCCAACCTAGTTTGAAACAATTAACCGACCTACAAAACACGGTCACACGACAAATAGTTACACAACGCAACATTTCTCAATTATACGTACAAAGAGAGAGAACGAAAAAAAATTATTATTTAATTATTACCAGAAGTATTCGTTCAAATCATCGTAGTTTCTCCACTCGGAGTGCTTAGATTTCCCGCCTTTGCTATGCCTAGCTTCCTAAGAGACGCATTGAACAAATTAGTCGTAAAAATAATAAAATAAAAAATCGGACCAGGGCACTAAGGAATATTCACCGTAGCGATCACGTTGTAAATCGGAGTAACTATTTTCCTCAAGAAAACCTCTTCTTCACCGCCGTAGGCTGGTTTGATGTTTTCACCCGTCATGGGACTAACACTTCCAGCTAGCATGCCGTACAGCTCGAATGCCATCTAAAAAAACGAACAGTTATCCGCTTGCAAAAATATTATTATAAAAAAAAAAAAAAAAAAGGGGGATGCTAGAAAATAAGATGATGAGAATTAAACGAACGTACGTGATGATATATATAGCAGAGACATTCCGGCATAAATCGCAAGTTTGCAGCTTCTCCCCATATAAGAAGATACAGTCCCATGTATAGTAATTTTCTTTGTTGAACTTCCTGTTGTATGGTCGGTAACCTATTTTTTTTTTTTAAATTAAATTAAACAAAAAAGGACTTTGAGATATAGTCGTGACGAACAATTAGTACGAATAATGTTTAGGCCTCGTTTGGTTGGGGAGATTAGCCATAATTATCTAAATAATTGGACGTTGTTTTTCCGTATTTGGTAAACCCAATAATTTTCCGAGTCGACCCGGAAATACTATTTTATTACCATGGCCTATCTTGCCTTTTACGGAAATGAATACAATTGGACTTTCGTTACATTATTTTAATCGGAAAATTACAGTTTTCATCCCTCAAGTTTGCACCGATTTCACATTCGGTCCTCCATGTTCGCAAAAAATAAATTTGGTCCCTCGTGTTTCAAAAATTAAACACTTTTAGTCATTTCCGTTAGTACTAACGGAATCAAATGGTGTAGCAATCACTGCATTAACTATCCGACTAACGGTAAATTGAAGGAAAGGAGAAAAGTGTTAAATTATTGAAACATTAGGGACCAAATGTGAAATTGGTGCAAACTTGAGGGACGAAAACTGTAATTTTTCCATTATTTAATCTTATCTTAAGAACCAAACGAGGCCTTATAATGCAAAGAAAAAATCAAAAACAAAAAGAGAATATTCCCTCACCATAAGCTACTCTTTCGACCAAGATACTTGCACCACTTCTTGTAGTTTTTGAAAAGTTTCGTCATGACTTCCGTAAGTGCCCGATCGTCCAACTGAAAAAAAGACAGCAAAATAAAGAGAACTGCCGTGTAATAAAACTTTGAGCTCGATTGATTATAGAAAGAATAATACCTTGGGTTGCTGATCGGGATTCGGTTGCCTAATGTGTACATTGGCTAGCAATAAAATCAGATGTTCTCTTTGGTTCGCCACACTGTCTTTCTGCACTCGAAAATTTCGAACAACTGTTAAAAATATATTTTAAGATATATATATATACTTACACTCGAACTATATATATATATATA